ATCCCATCACTCATACTTTTTTTTCCTTTTTCATTTAGTTCAAAACGCGCCGTAGTCACAGGTTAAAAAGAAAAAAAAACAGCAAGCATACAACCCCCAAGAGCACATATATGTTCCTAGAGACGTCGTGTTTTTGTAATGGGTGTGTGCATTTGTCTTCGACCCTCCTTCTGTTGAATTAGTAATAACAATGAATTCCCTGTTTTGGTTTCCTCGCGGGACTCGCATGCAACTATCTACAACGCCTGAGTCAGGCCAAACTGCAGGCTTCGAGACGGCTACCATGAGCCGGTTTCCGCATCAGGGTCCTTCAGCAGCGGCTGCAGTTTCCGCAGCCAGTATTCGTCAAAGGCGACTGTGACGCGCTTGAGTCCCACCTCCAGGGAATCGTTTGTCGTGTCGAATATCACCAGCTCGCCCTTGAACTTAATGTTCTTCAGAAACTCCAGCTTCTTTGCAAGACTACCCTGGGCCTCAACGCGGGCCGTGGCCTCCTCCTCCGTCAAGTGATTACGCTCCATCACACGTTCCACAGCGGCGAGTTTGTCACATGTCGTGAGCCAGACATCGTCGCACAGCGACAAGAGACTGCTTTCAATGAGAAGTGCAGCCTCCATAATGATTAAGAGCACGTTTTTATTATTTGCTAGGGCCTTGTTCGAGGCAGCTTCGATCTCCTGTAAAACGGCTTCATGGATGTGCGGCCAGCAAATGTTATTGAGTTGCCGCAGCTCATTTGCATGACACTCCGCGAACACGCGGGTCCCGAGTTTCCTTCGGTCAATATATGGCTCGCCGAGAACAGAAGGTGAGGCAGCTGTCACTGTGTCCTCCTTTCCATCCTGCAGGATCTCCTTTCCGAATGCATCGATGACGTCGTAGTAGCATGGCTTCCCCGGAGTATAAATGTCGTGGCCTACCTTGTCCACACAGATACTGTGCGCCTCAAACGAATGTATCGACTGCCGTGCACGTGCCTGTGCTAACCTCAGCAGGTGATTGCAGCGCACAGACTTGCCACTTCCGATGCCGCCCGCCACGCCAAGGATGACGACGCGCGGCATGTGCGTCAGCGCAAAACACCTCCGGGAGGAGCGCAGCATCTACGCATTCAGGCCCTAGTGCTTGCCGTGCAGCTGTTCCCAAGGCACACGGAAGCGTATACGGATGTATGTGTGCCCGCTCCGCAGGACACACCCCAATACACCTCCTTCCCACGATCGCAAGAAGAAGCAACAAAAACAACAACAACAAAAAGACATTATGGAAAAAAGCCAAACATAAAACGCACCATGTGGTGCAGTCCGGAGACATAACAAACACGGGAAAAAAAAGGCAAGCCAACACCAAAAAGAAAGAAAGAAAAAAAAGGGAAGGTGAGTGAAAGAGAGGTTTTGGTTCACGGTCATAATGCAGCGGCTCAATGGCAGTCGTCAGCTGACACAGAAAACAAAACAAAACAAAATTTAGATTTAAGATTATTGTTCTGTTTTGTTTCTCATCTCGTTCTTTTTTTTTTTGGGTTGCTGCGTTAATTCTTACGGAGGTTCGCTCTTCCCTCCGCACGCGCGTGTCGCCTGCCCCACCGATCGCCCGCTCTCGCGCCTCCCCTCTTACTGAGCTGGTCTATGCATACACACATGCACGCACATACGCATCGCCATCGTCTTTGCACCGCATTCAGTTTAGTTGCCCCATTCATTTTGCGTTCCTTTTTTTCTTTTTCTTTTTCTCTTTATTTTCCCACTTCGTCTTTTTTTCCCCACGCCCCCTTCTTTTTTTTGTTACGCACGACGCCCTGCTCGTAGGTGTCCACCTTGGAAACAACAACCGTAACAGCAGTATTAATAACAGGAAGAGTAGTAATAGCAGTCCACGCGCTCCATCGCCCAAGACGGGCTCTCCACACCGCAAGGCTTCCCCACCCGTGCCAGACCCGAACCACGCGCGTCTCCACTCCGCTGTGGGAAGCGGAAGGAAAGAAAAAAAAAACGACAACGACAACAACAACAACAACAAAGAAAATACCTCGGCAACTGCCACTTCCAGCATCCCCAACCACGTTGCCAGAGGGAACGGCACACAAGGAGTGGGAAGAGATAACGGTCAAGAAAGGAAAAAGCCAATAAGAAAGAGGCAAACAAACACACAACAACTCTCACACACTCGGGACCAAGTCCTATTTCAGTCCATTTCCCCACGCCGTCTGAAGATCCCCACCTTCTCTCCCACACAAACCCACGCGAACTTCGGTTCCATGGAGTTTCACCCATACATCCACTCTCTCCCTCTCTCTTGCCTGCTCTGCGACAGGGACACCCAGGCAGAGCTAACGAGGGAAGAACCAAAAGAACTTTAGGCGCGGGCGAAAGGAAGCAACAACAAAAGAAAAAGCTTCATGGACCACCTCGTCTCCCCTCCTTCCTCTCTCATTCTCCTCATGCTTCCCATTTCCCTCTTCAATAGCTCTCTCTGTATTCTCCTTCTTGTATGTGGCTTCTTTTTTGTTCCCCATGAAATATTTCCCTTTTCTTTTTGAATTTCCTTTTACCTTTGGGCACCGCTGTTTTTATGCCATTTTTCACCTTTTCATGTCGCCTGTTTCTCTTTGTGTTATCACCCCCCCCCCCTCTACACAAACGCCCATATGTACGTGCTTACATTTAGCGGACTCTAAAAGGTCGATGTGCATCATCAGAGCTGTGACTTATTTTCTCTGGTTTCGGGCCTTGCTTTTTTTTTGTTCGTTGCACAGGGGAGGCAGCCGCTGATGTTCTGTGTTGATAGTATGCTTAATGTTTTTTTTTCGTTCCGTTTCCTTCCTTTAGCGTCTCACGATTCACAACTTCACACGGAGTTGGAGAAGGCGCATGACACATACAGAAACACACGCCGACAGACGCACGCGGGCACTTCCTTTGCGACTCGCGAACCCCCCCCCCACGATCGCCGCCCGAGAGGAAAGAATGAGGGCAGGGAGGAGAGTGAAAGCCCCTTAAATCGCCGTGGGTGAACACGCCGATGTCCGCAATCGCTGCCACAGTATCCGCCGCCCTTTCTCAGCATTCAAGTTGCCCCTTTACACACACACACACGCATACATACATATATATATATAGTTATTTAGCCGTGGTGGCTGCATTATTATTATTTTTTGTTTCACGTTTAAAGCTTCTCCGACACACCGCCACTGCTTCCGCATCCCACTCACTCACTCACCGCTCCTCCCTCTCCGTCGCATAACTTGCCCCACTGCTCACTCCTTCCTTCACCTCCTCTGCATTGCAATCCAACCCTCCGTCCTCCACAGTGGGGGGGGGGGGCGCCTGCCACAGGGAGCTACCCCATTCACGTCACGGCAGTGGAACAATTCAACCTCAGAAGGGGAGCAAAAAGAAGTACTGACCTGCCTTTCCGCGGTCAGAAGCTTAACTTACATAAGTAAAAAAAATATGTATGCATATATATATATATATGTGGCGTGGGTAAAGGACAACAAATAAAACAAAGAGAAGGCACGACAACGGGGGCTTCTAAAGACATGTTAAAAAAATCCCAGCCATCCAAGTACAAACGCTCAAAGATATAAGTATATATATATATATATATACGTAGAAAAACCCGTAATAACAGTGAAGCGTTTTCGCCTTTCACCCGATGCATGAGGATGTGAACTTGCCTGTCAGTGCGTATAGGGGGAAAAAAAGTCTGTCTTGTATCCCCCTCTTTTTTTTCTCTGGTGCACGTGTATTTATGTGCCTGTCTGTCTCTCTGTCACTGTACGTGTGCAAGTTGGTTTTGATTCTCCCAAAGATCAGACATCACACAATGAGAAGGATGCTACGCGGATGCATCCACTGCCCCATCGTTGGGCGCGGCGGTGTACTTCTCGCGGACCTCGTCCAGCTGAATACGATGACCTCCCAGAGTCTTCTTTCCCTTGTGATCCGCCAACATTTTGGTCACTGTCGCCTTGACGTCATCACCCTTTTCCTTAATGGCGTTGTGGTCCAGTTGAACAAAAGCAAATGTGCGCATCACAGCTGGATCCTTCTTGTCACTTCGTGTAAGAACCTTGATGAGCTTAGTTGGGGCGATGGGCTCCACAATATCACGGACCGTCTGCTCTGTGGCGCCGGTGGGAAGACCCTTCACAATGATATCGTAAAACACCACGAAGCGGCTCATTGGACGAACATCAGCGTCCTTGCGTTTGGCGTTGGCTTCGGTGGTGTTAGTATCCTTGCTGGTCCTGCCTGTGGTCGATGTCTTACCGGTCTTCTTTCCAACATCGCCGGTCAACGAGGCCCCACTCGTCTTTTTCTTATCCGCACCGTTCTTGGGAACAGGATTCTTGGCCTCTTTTTCCGCTGGGTGCACCGCCGCCTCCTTCTTCTCCTTCGCTTGGCCCAAAGCGGAGGGCTCCTTGGTTTCCTTCGCCAGCACCATAAGCGGTGTCGTGCGGCTCTGTGAGGATCCACCAGGCTTGGACATCATGATAGCCTCGGCGAAGCTTTTCGGCTTCCTTACTTCAGGAGCTGGGACGGGAGGAGATGGGTCTGTCGTGGCCGACTTCTTCTCAACCTCCTTTGGTGCCTGGCTTTGACTTGCAGTAGTGGTCGTAGGATCCGCAGTCATTGTGGGGGTGGCGGCGGCAGGAAGCGGAGTTGCAGTCTTCACCGAAGCAGCCGCTTGCGCCTTCGCCAGCGTTTCCACTTCCTTCTTCGCTGTGGAGTGTTCTACACTTGCTACGACGGAAGTCGAGGCAGGTTGCTCAATCCGCTCCATCGTGTCAGTTGCAGGGTCTTTCGCGAACATGGGAGGTGTCTCCAGTGCCCACCGCCTCGGCGCCTCCTCGCTGAGGGCGTTGTCCCGCTTGTCAGAGACTATCCCAAAGCTGCCTGGATGCGACGCATGCTCCATGAGCTCCACCTCGTGGGTAAACTCCTGACTCGCGCCGGGGGGAGCTGTGATTGCGCCCTTGATCGACACGTGAATGTGCCCATCCGCATCTGTCAGGGAGGTCAGGGTCTTAATCGCCACGGACGCATCCACCCGCGCGGGATACAGCTTCGACACGGTCGCCTCAATCTCTGCGATGCCCGTTGCCGTGTGTCCCATGTGATTAAAGGAGGCATTTTGGGTGTAGAAGGAAGGGAGCTTCTCCGGCTGCTGCACCATCCGAGTGTAATACTGGCAGGTAAAACTGGCGGCTACACGCTGTTGTCGTTCATTTCCGGCGGTCATCTGATACCCTTGCTTCTCCACAGGTTAATCCAGAGGCAAGGATGGAGGGAAAACGATGCTGGTGGAAGTGAAAAAGAAAAAAAGAGCAAAACAAAAAGGATGCAAGGTAAAAGAGGGCGTACAAAAAGTCATCTTCGGAAGGACTTCCTCAGCAAAAACGGTAGCGGCACCAGCGACAAGAAGAAAACTTGGAGAACGCTCATGCAGTATGCGCTGCCCTACGCACACACACACACACTCACACACGCAGACGACAGCCTCCGTCGGCAAGCTTACTTCCCCATTTTTGTCGCCGAAGAATTCCCTGCTGGGGGCCACAGGAGTGCCGTCCGCTTCTCGGGAGTCATCGAGCTCTTTGCATCGAGAAACTCCTGAAAGTCTACTACGCTCCACGAGGAATGGACACGCTGGCATTTGTCGCAGCGGCAAGTCACGACATATCCCGACATCCCAGCGCACTCGCGCTGCTCACGGTGGTAGCTGCGGCACTGCGCATCCGAGTCAAAGAGGATGGGGTTTGGAATCGGTCTGTACCCTTTTGCGTGGCGTTGAATGGATTGACAGAGGCCGCAGCGAAGAAAATACTTCTGAAAAAATCGGCTTGACATCGCCGCAACCGGTCTCGTCAACACGCACGGCCTGCGAGGATTGCGTACGCCGGAGAGAAAGACATGAAAATAAAAGATAAAAACGATGATAAATAACAAAAGAAAAGGGCGTGTGATGGATGTTCTGTCGCCACCACCACACACGGCCAGAGACGCAGACAACTCTCCAGTAGTTGCATGAAATGCGAACCAAAAGGCGAAACAAAAGGAAAACAAAGAGGAGGAGATCAACAACGACAACAATTGTCTCACACGACCAACTTCCTGCGGCGTGGAATATGCGTCACTGGAGGCGACTCACTTTTCCCCGGCAGTCCTTCCAATCCAAGAAACTGCCCGGTGCGTTGCACCTCCTCTGCGATGGGGACCATGTTTGGCTTCCATGCACACGACGGACAGAACGCCGACCAACCGACAATATTTGGATGCAGCGGGCATTGTCCACTCTCCACGTTGCCTGTGCGGCTGCGCACGCTCGCGCGGTAGGAACCACCGCAGCCCTGACACTTCCACTCTGCGCGAAACTTGCTCGTGCACGCTAACGAGCCTAGGTTGTCCACTTTGTCGGTCTCCGTAAGCTGCTTCACAAGCTCCGGGGCGGACGCGGCGAGCGATGGACTCGCATGCTGCTCGCGGAGCACCTCGGAGGGATATCTGCCCTTGCAAAAATTGCATCCCGCATGAAACTTCGTGCGCACACTCACGCTCTTCCGGTAGGGGGACCCGCAAAAGGCGCACTTCCAGTAAATGCGGCGATGATCGTTCCAGCGGATATCTTGCAGATTGATGCCAAGTTCCTCTTCGTTCTTCTTCACGTCAATGTCATCAATGACGGCTTGATATCGATTTGCAAAGTTGACCAAACGGTTGGAGTCCCGCGTGACCCAATTCACTCCTTTCATCGGCAGCTTTCGGCCGACGCTGTAGTCCAGGTACATGGCACCGTAGTGCATGTTGGGCCAAACGCTCGACCAGCGGGACTTTTGCTTGAACTCCGCTGCCAGCAGAAGTCGTGTTCTCTCCATCATTTTGTCGCGCTCTCCCTCTGTGAGACCGTGTCAGTAATAATACAACCAATGGGGTCGAGTTCCGGTTGCTACTAGTGTGACCCGCGCGGGTGCCGCAACGGCCGCGATTGATATCCAAACTGGCGGTGGTGACAATGCGGGTGGCAATACTTTTACCAATGATGAGACACGGATGACCGTGTGCGTTGACGCGCCCCGCACAGGGCCTCCCCGCTCAGCCAGCAGCCGGCCCCTTGTTGGTGCCGAGGAATAGGCAAAGAGAGAGGGGTATATATATATATAGAGCGAGAGAGGGAGCGAGCTGTGGTGCTACCTACTCACGCGTCAACTTGCCTCTACTTTCCGTAAGCCAAGAAAAGCGCAAGGAAAACCCTCCAAGAAAATTGATTTTAAAAAAGCAACGACAAAAACGAAGAAAACAAAACAACTGACAGGCAGAGCATTTCGTACCCAGAAGGCGAAGCAGAAACGCGGACTGGAGGAGAGAGAAGGATATATATATATATATATATGGCACGCACAGACAGAAACAGAGAGATGCGAAACAGATTATAGTTCCCTGCGTAGCACAGTCCGGCTGTCTTAAATCATTCCTCATTAGTGATTGGAAAAGAACCCTGCGTAAACGGAAGTAAAAGCTCACGGCTCGGGGGGTTCTCTGCAAACCCCAACGAAGATCGAGAGCGCACTCTCATTGACTGGGGCAATTGAAAGGCCGTGCTACATGTCCGCGACCCCCCCCCCCCTTCCTCAGCTCCACACAAATTATCATCGTGACCGCTTTGGGAGCCATTGGCTGCGTGACGGCGTACTTCCGACCTCTGCGACTTCACTGAGAAACGTGGCTTCTTCTCGTTCGCACAGATAGGCATGTACAGTCTTCCTCCAATACCTTTGTGTGTGTGTGTGTTTCATTATTATTTTTTGTTGTTGTTGCCTTGTTCTTTTGTCCTCGATTTTGTTTTTCTTCAAGCCACCAAGGAGTTGTGCATCAGCGGTTTGGGAGGTGGTGGCTTGCGTGGATGCTCCGGCATGGGCGCCCTCCGCGCATTCTCGTACTTGGGTGGGAAGGACAAAAAGAGCGTCGTGCGCAGGGATACAAAGACGATGGACCAAAGAATGATGAAGCGGAACCACGCCTGGACAAGAGCCTCATTCCCGGCGAATGGGTTACGACGGGGATCCTTCGACGCCGCCTCCTCCGCCTCATCGTCGCCAAAGGGGTTTTTCTTCACCTTCCCTGTGTGCATCTCTTCGTAGAACTCGTCGTAACTAACTTTGCTCTTGTGCTGACGCGTTGTGAAGCGGAAATTGCTGTAACGGTTGCCGCCGTCGGCGCCCCCCTGCGCATCTGCGGAGTTTCCGTCGGCATCCTTCTTGATCCAGATACCGCTCTTCACCTGCTCGTAGGCCGCCTGAATCTCTTGAAACTTCTCATGTGAGCCGCCCGGCGCGTCGGGGTGGTGCTTGCGGGCAAGCACGCGGTAGGCCTTTTTGATATCCTGCTTCGTCGCACCCTGCTTGATGCCAAGCACTTTGTACGGGTTAGTGCTACCGCTAGCAAAACGTGCCTGGAAAAGCATGGCTGTGGCAGCAACTGCCGCCTGCGTGGAGACAGACGAGGCCAATGTGCGACGGGCCCCGCCTACAAGCAGCGCACGTTGACTATGCCACATCTTTGATAATAAAAGCACGCAAACAACTCTGTTAGCACCTCTCGCTTGTTTATAATCAGTTTTTTTTTATATATTAACTAAATAGTTTAAGTCACTTTTCCCCTTTACGCTGCTTACTCCTGGGCCCACTGTCTGTGTGTGTGGTTGGGCGGGAGGAAGGGCGGGCGGGAGTGTGTATGTAGTCTAACAGCGCAGAGGTGTGCGGGTGGTTGTGCGACACATGCCGGAGTAGAGAATTACGCACGTCAGGGGGCAAAGCCACGACAGAGAAACACAAGCAAGGGGTGACCAAGCGCGTTCACACTAACACAGGGGTCAACGCAGTGCAAACAAAGTGATCGCTTGGATGTGAAGGGCGTTATGCGCTTCGTTCCCCCCTTGCGGCACCCCCGTGTGCGGGCGTGCGTGGAGGGACACAAGCACAGCAATTCATACGAATACATGCGGAGGGGGTCAAAGAAGGAAGAAGAGGGAGCGGGGCAAAAGGACAAGTGGCGCCAATATGCATACTTACTTACACACACACACTCACACACCACCAAAAACATTTCACGGCCCTCAAAGAGAAAAATAATTAAATAAAAGCAGGAAGCACAGCTCACAGAATGAGGTGTGTGGCTTTGGGGCAGATGTACATGCTCTTGCACCCAAATGCATCCTTCGCAGGCGCACGCGACACATACACACACATACAACGCAGTCCAAGGCAGCAGCAAACGCAAAAAAAAAAGTAACACATAAAGAAGAGAGAGGCTTGCAGTAAAAAAGAAAACAAAAACGTATAGGTGGATACCCGCATTCATGCATGCATATATACACACGTAAATGGGACAAAAACTCAATGTCCATTTTACTGCCGCTGTTTTCCACATTGGGAGCAGAACTTTACCTGGGCGGAACGATACATCGTCCCGCAGCCCGTGCAGTATTGCTGCTGCTGTTGCTGCGGTGGCGGTGGTGTCAGCTGCGCCACGGCGGGAAATTTTTGCGGCAAACTCCGCTGCGATCCGGTGCGGCTGCCAGCAGACGGCGCTCCGCCTGTCTCTAGCGCAGGGCGGCTGGGTGGGGCCGTAAGCGCCCCGCCACCGGTGGGGTCTTCAAGCACCAGCTCCCGCACAGACCAATCGAGCGCCATCAGAGGAAAATAGGCTTCACGCACCGGCAGTCCTCTCTGCAGGCGGTCCTGCTCCAACTCAAAAACAGTTGCATGGGCCTCGCCATCGCGGTCGCACACCGCACACAAAAAGTGACTCGTAAATCCACTACAACCGCACTCTTTGCAGGAACGCTTTCTTGGATCATGTTGCTTGTGCCCATGGCCGCAGCGACACTTGGCGGACCACCTTTCCGGGTCCCAATTGCCCCTTCGCGTCAGCCACCCTTCCCCAATCTCTTCGGGTTCATTCGGCATGTAGTTAAAACCTCCACATGCGCATGCCTGGCATGGAGGTGCCGCCACGCGACCCCGCAGCGGTTTTAGCGCGGCATGTTCCTCAAGTGAGTGCCCGCAAAAGCAACGATGCTGGTACCCAACCCGTGCACAGAAGTCCGTATTCGACCCTGACAACTTGGGCTGCTCACACCGCCAGACGGCGTACACCCCCGTCTGAAGGGCCAGCATTGCGGCCGCATTCTCGCGGTTAAGAATTTTTTTGGATTGCGCGGATGGGCCAAAGCGACGAATGCCCTGAAGAACTTGGGCCTCGGAGGTGGCATCTTTTTGGAAGTTGTTTTCAATCACACCCTTCACCCGCGCCGCGAGATCGCGTATCTCCGCATGTACCTCGTTACTATCAACCAACGCGCCGTAGGGCTCGGCTGGGCCGCGTGCGACGACTCCGTGCGAGGACGGCCCCGACGGTTGGCGCAGGGGACGACCGCCGCGTGGTCCCACGAGTTCGCCGCTGCCGCCGCGCGCAGTCGGTCTCCGCATCGGTGTGAGGGAAGAAGCAGATCGACTGGCTCCCACACGGAGCAGGCAGCAAAAAAGGGACACCGGCTAAAGCAGCAGCAGCAGGCGACCGCGCGTTTCACTAGCTGTGCTACCGAGTTTACACGTGAACTTCAAACCCGCCCCCACCCCTCCCCAGCCCCACAATCACGCAACACAAGAACAAAAACAAGAAAAAAAAAGGCCACAAATAATAATAAACGCCCGTATGTATCTGGGGACGTACGCACACGCACACATACAACTTGGACAGGTAGACACATATGCCGTAGACCCAAAGACAATCACAACCATTCATCCTCTTTCGCCCTCATGATGAGATAATTTTATGGCCTTCACGACTTCCATTGACGTCGCGTCGTATCAAAGTGCCTCACTCGCAACGTTAATGCGTGCCACCTCCATACACTTTGAGATCGGAATTTGATTCATCAACTGCCAGGTCACGGCACACGCACAGAGTTTTGTGACAACATCCGCCTCTCTAATGTCGTGGTAGCCCTCAATGACTCCCTCAACGGAAGTGTTATGCCGCTCCTCCGACGAGTTGATTGACAACGCCGTTGGAAGATCAACAATGCCGTTAAACATCGCGAGAGGAAGGAGCAGACTGCTGGTGAATTGGGCCGCCACGCACAGCGCCACGATCTGATATGGATTCATCGACATCGCCAACAGTGCATCGCGCACCTTAAGCGTGGAACCTGCAGGAATTTGCGGGTGACCAATGCCCACGATTCGGGGCACATTTACGTTAAAAGCGTGTGCAAACCAGTCTGCAATGGGTCCAATTACGCGATCCTGCTCCCCCGCAATGGGGGCGGCACGGAAGTACATGTTATCATTCTGGTAGAACGACATCAAGTAGTCCACACGCGGGGCAATCATCTGTGGGGCAACGGCTAGTGCCCCGCTGCACATGTCCGTCATTGGCATCAACAGCTTATTGAGATACACCGTTTGCTCCGCATACTCCCGTGCACAGGCGTATGCCATGGCTTCACTCGGAATGGCAAGAACGTTGTTAGACTCAAATGCCTTTACTTTGCGTCCATCCACCAAGACCGTATACCACCCTTCATAACCGTCAAGCTGACCCACATCCACATCCCTCCAAAAGACACGCACGGCGGCCGCAGAGCGATCCCGCATTGACACATCCATTTGATACAATGAGTCCTCCACCAGTACGCGATTCTCTTCTTCCTCCTGTTTCTCGAGACGCTCATATAACTCCTGAAGTTGTTGTGGGTTCATCTTGGACCATTCTTCTAGCTTGCGTTCCAGCTCAGCTGTCGAGAGCTCGGCATGCGCCCCAGGGTCCCGAGGGACACGGTCAAGGAGGGAAGAGGCGTCTATGCTCGCAGAGATGCGCCGCCTTGGCTTCTTCGGTGCGATGGTGGGTCCACTGCCGCCCCCACTGGAGCTGGCACCGGCGTTCGCAGAGGAGGAAGACGCACAGCTGCGTCTACCACTCAAGAGTATACCCAAGCGATACGGTGATGAAGACAACCGTGGCACGGCAAACTTGCGCATCGGCCAACACGTTTACTCTCTAAGCTTTTATTATTATTGTTGTTGTTGTTGGCGTTTGTCTCGTTGTGCGCCGCGTGCTATGGCCAGCGTGTGCGTGTGCGTGTGTGTGCGTGAGAGAGAGAGAGAGGGTGGTGCACAGGCTGCGGGGGAGTTGCTGTGAACCAACCAAAACCTTCTGGTCCGCGGGACCCAAAATACAAAATCAAAACGAAAAAAGTCACCTATATTTACATAGAAATGAAGAAGGGACAGAGACAGGGGAAGCAACGCGGTGGAAAGTCACAGAGGAGGCACAGCCAACTCGCAGCGAGCCAGACACGCCCCAGGTGCGGGCGCAGAACCACCAACTTCGTACAGCGTCACTTCCTTCCGGGGGCGTCTCCGCACGCATGACGTGGACCCACTCCCCTCCCCCTCCTATAGCAAGTCGTAACGCACATCAACTGAAACTATCTCCCGTGCGCGATCGCAAAAGAATTCCTCCAGCTTCCACCGATGAATCGCCCCCGGTTCATTCACAGCATCAAAATGTGACGGCACCGACAGTGGAGGGGGCAGGCTCTTCCGCTCCGCACCGTAATTGAAGTCGTACCAAGACATTTGCAGAGTGGTCTTCTCGTTGGGCCCGACACGGCACTTTGCGTGTTCCAGAAGCTGCAGCGACTCAAAGGACCAGCGGGAAATAAATGTCAGCCCTATCAAAGGTTCCACATGATGTGAAAAACTTTCTAGCGTCGCATCCGACGAGGTGAGGCAGATCACGTTTGGGGCCTTAATTTCAAGGCACATCGCCAAGGCACGGCAGGTGTCGACCAGAAAAACCACCTTCCGATACCGTCGCTGCTCCCACATCATCATAAGTGTGTCGGCAACATCCATGGAGCTCATGAACTCGGAGTCCTGAACTTTAAAAAAACCCTCTGCAGCGTGTCCAGCAGCATAAATCAAAATATTGGAGTTTTCATCGGTGTTGAGGCGGCGCGAGGGGGGCGTAAGTGCGTCGTAGCGACCCTGCAGAAGGCCAAGAAAACGACGCACGTCCACGTCGTACCCGGCGTAGTCCACCTCCACGCTGCAGCCGTACAGATTGACTCGATCAGACCCCGAAAGAGCGCTGTGGATGGCGGCCGGATAGGGATTGCGTGGGTCACAGGCATAGCTGTCGCCAAGGAAGAGGAGGATGTGGTCGTCGTCTAGCCCGTGCTTGCGGCAGAGGTGGTACATCGTCAGCGCGTTGGAGGTGTGGCGTATATTAAAGAAGTAGCGTGAGGTAGACAAAATGACGGCCCATAAGTTTGTCTGGGTCTCGTTGCCAGCGGCGGTGGCGGTGGCGGTGGCGGTGTCGAGTGTTGCTAGCAGGAAAACGAGGAGGCAGCAGCAGCAGCACCGCAGAGATCCCATCAGACGCGCCATTTGAGGCCGGTGCGAGGCACTCGCGTTGACTGCGGGGCCGTCGCAGGTGTGTATGCGCGTGTGCAACGTTTCCTTCTGCGAGTGCGGGGCCCGGAAAAATTGTCACCTCCGTCCTTCCCCCTTTCCGCGGCAAGGCCAAGTAAAAGAAAAAAAAAAGACAAGAAGAAAGTGCAAGAAAGAGAGGGACGCACCTACCCGCTGACCCACCCAAAGACAACTTCAGGACACGCCTCCGCCCTCGCTCAAGCACACGAGGGCCGAAAACGACGCATACGATGGCAGCAGCCAACGTCACCGGCGCAAAAAAAATAAAA